CAGTGCTTGGATTATACGGCACAGATGAAAACATGATGAGAAGGCTTCACTTAAGAGGCTTTCAGATAATCTCAGATGCACGTGGTGCCCCATAATAGGTAAAGAGATCTCTCCGGTGTTCCACACGCTCTGGTTCTCCGAGGCATCTGAATGCTTCAGGCACACTAACTCAGTTTGGCATTTAGTCTCTGCAGCCTCCAGTTTGCTGCTGCCATAGAAAGGCTCTTTTGTTCTTCCTGCAGCTATCAGTGACAAACAGCACAACTGAGGCGAAGCATGGGAAACTGCAGAGACGTTCGCCCGGTTTGTATTTCAGCAGCCCTAAAGGCAATCACAACCCCGTCCTATGAACTCTGACATGTGTTTACTGTATATTTCAGGTAGTTATGACAAGCAAGGGCTGTGTCTCGTTAATAATGAATCTAGACTAAATAGCAAGTCAGATTTTGATGTTTGAAAAGGTTCCCATGCAGGCCTCTAGCTTTGTACAATGGTCTCACACAAACTCATTTTGTATGAAAAGTTAAACACATTAAAGTTCAGGTTAGGGGCTGGGTTAGCACTTTCTGTATGAATTTAAATTCATACTCTTTTTTCATTGGAAGAGGTCTGCATACACACCTGATTTTGTGGTTTACTGTATGGATATTGGCCACATTTGTGAATCGGCTTTGTTAAATGTCTGCACTGCTTGCTGTGGTGCAAAAGCATTGACCATGTCCAGACTGGTCAATGTGCCAGTTCAGCACTGCACAGTGAGACAGCAGAGACAGAAGAGCAGCACAGCAGAACCAGTGTTCATCTGAGTGCACATGCGCACATGCACACCCACACCCTCATAAACACACACACACACACACACACACACACAATGAAATATTCAAACACCTCTCCTCCTGTATTTTCATGCTGGCCTAAAAGACCTGGGTATTATTAAATATTAAGTGAAATATCATTAGTCATGCACAAATAACTATACAAATAATTACTACAGTAAAAGCCAACATAAATCTATTACAGACAAACACAGACCTAGTACAAAGTCATGTACAACTCATGAACAAATCGTTATGTACAATCCAGAACAAATGTGTTGGTAGAAGTGATTCAGCCGAATGACAAAGATTTCTCCCTCTGCACATCTGCTACATAAACTTTCCTAATGCAATCTACATTTTATTACCCCAAGCTATAACGAAATTACCCAGTTAAACAAATTACAATTAATTTGCTACATAATATGTAATAACACTGAATACTGTTTGGTTTCATGCAGTTCTATTGCGGTGTGCAAAGTACATGACTGTTTGCATTGTACTCAAACACAAATCTCTCATGCAGTGCAATCCATCAGCCAAATAATGAATCGTTTTGATTTCTGTGTCACAGTACTGTCTGAACATGTCCTGCTATACGACTCGATCAAGCCTAGAGTTTGACTCGGTCATGATTTATTACTTAGTTTGAACACAGCAAGTCGTTTGTGGTCCTGAAACAGTAGAAATGAAGATGGCGTGATCAGAAGATGGCGTGACACTCCAGCTCTCTGTATCCTGTGCAACGTTGATCACGCTCACATTACGACTTGAACTTACGAAAATGAAATTACGTGAAATTACACAGACAAATCAAAAGACCACCTACGCCAACTAAATAATCTACCTTTTCCGAGTATTTCATTTATAGTGTAGCCATAATGTATTCTTTACAACGGCCTTTAAAATATGAGCTCTCATTCCACCCCGATAGCTAGTTCTGATTTGGGCTAATTCATGGACACTTTGCTATATGAAAGCATTCGGAATAGAGGAGAAGCATGGCAGAGTTTTATCGAGCCTCAAAAATGTGACTCAAAATTCAAAACTTGTTCAGTACAAACATGTTAAAATATTTTAACAACTGATTTAAATTATTATTTTAAAAAAGCAGAACATATTGGGGTATTTTTAACTTATCATTAGTAGCCCAGAGTCACTCTCACCTATAGGTGAGGGCATCGAGGACTGAAGAAGACGCTATGTTAAGGCTGTTTTACTCGGTGTTATAACGGGGTCTTACACATTTATTGAATGTCACACTGTACATGATAATGACAATAAAATCTTGGTCAAATTCTTTGGCAAACGTGTGCTGTATGGCATATTACACTAATACGATGTGATAAAGTGATGACATTCTGATAATAATGCAGCACAGTGAAGACGCAGTTGGCATGGCCGCCTCACAGCTCCAGGGTCCACGGTTCGAACCTGACTTTTGGACACTGTCTGTATGGAGTTTTGCGTGTTCTCTCCGTGAGAGAGCATATTTGAGCAATACCGCATGAGTAAGTGTGCTGTTGTACTGAATATCAGCACAGCTGTGATTTGGCAACAGGTAATAACAGCCATGCTGATATTTAGTATAACAGTACTCTAGGAAAGCCGCGTATCCAATCAAATTAGTGGACCGGAACTAACTGCTGTATAATTAAGCAATATTTCATGAGTAAGAGTGCCGTGTTACTGAATATCAGCACGGCTGTGATTCGGTTGTAGGAACAAGGCCGCAGGTATTCACAGCCCTGCTGATACTCAGTACAAAGGCATGATTGTGAGTGTGATGCTGCTTTTATATAACAGTTCTACTGTATAAACAAGAAATTAATATCGAGTAACTGACATTTCTGACACAATATGGCCAAGTATTTTGTTTATTTCTGTCAAAGAAAATAGTTCCCAAACAAGCCACAGTTGCCATGTAACGCACAGACTGACAGCCCGTAGCAAGTGTAGTAACGGTTTCAATGAACTGCTGCTAAAAGTGCAATTTTATGTATCAAACAAGTGGAGTGACACAAACAGTGAAATGTCTCAGTGCTGTTATACTAAATATCAGCACTCTTGGATCTCTGCTTGTCCAATCAAATTAGTGGGCTGGAACTAACTGCTGTATAATAATTGATATAAGATATATACCAGTTTAACTCACAACCAAGGAATTCTTTCACGATTGGTGATTTTTGAGTGTAGAACAGCCTTTGGTTAAAGTAGTTAGTGATTTTTATTTCTTCATATGAATAAATTTCAGAATCAAAACAATCTATTAACCTGTTACTCTATTAACCGCTTAAACGCCTACCTTTATTATACAATTATTCATTTTAAAGCATTATTTAGTACTACAAATTAATTAACTCCATTAATAAACATTAACTACAATTAATGATTCAGTAGCTATAGAGAAACTAATAGGAAAGGTATATTGTAAAGAATATAATTCTGGACACATTGAAAGAATCTGAGAGATTAAAATGTCAAAATACACAATGATTATGAAATCTGATTTTATCAAGTTCCTTTCTGGTTGGACAGGGTTTTATGGCTTCCTGTTTACTGAATGTGGTATTCCCTGTTCCTGTGTGGAAAAGGTTGCCTAAAAATAGCTACATAATGAGCCACATTTTTTACTCTCCATTTTTACCTCAAATGCTCTTTTAAATAGGACCGAGAATTTACCAGTATTTCAAATACCTTCAAATATCAATGCACAGCAGTCGCAATATGGTCTTAGGGCTTTTTTTTTTTTTTTGTCAGTAGAAAACCAGATAAGAACAAATGTGTGTAGCATTTACAGTAGGATGTGTAAATTCATGTTTTTTATAGCATGGCTATCAAATACCATACGCAACATGCACAGTATTTGAAGCAGAAAAATACACATTACAATCACTGCGTGCATGGCTTATCACAAACTGCTCAGAGCAGCCATAACTGTAATTAAACAACTTGAAACAACACACATGGCTTCATTTTCCCATTGTTTACGGTATCACATCGTGACAGACCTGCCAAAAAGACCCACTAATTTGCACTGCCACCCATGGAGTCTGCTAACACCAACAGGAGACAGACTCAATCCCAAAAGATCTCTTTTATGTATATATTGTGCTAGACAGGATGCACAACGTATTTTTTCATACATGGTGTAGTTCACTTGTACAAGAACTACTCTGCCTAAATTTAGCTCGGTCTTCCACAGACAGAACACTGGGCCTTCTGGGGCGACCACGTCAATAACTTCTGCAACACATTAGCAAGTTATAAATCATTACAGTTTCTGTAATATTTGACTAATATATATCAACTAAAGCATAACTTCAGGGGGTCTTAAAACTGTACATCGGCCCAAAGCGATAGCAGGTTTTCAAATTACAAGTAAGGGACCGTTTTAGCCTTGTCTTCCATTCATGTCCGCACATTTTGATTACAGTGAAACCATGCTTCTTCTGCTGTCTGTGTTAACTTGAGGCATAATTGGATTGCATTCAGAAAACTTTTGGTCTGCTTTGGTTTTGCTGTTTGATTTTATTGTAAACAGTACTAAAGCAGAAGAGTAATGGTTTATAGTCCCACACTCCAGTGTCACCCAGAAGAGGATCGGTTCCCTTTTAAGTGTGGTTCCTTTCAAGGTTTCTTCATGTCTTCTATAGGAGTTTTCCCTTCTCACTGTCCCTTGTTTGATAGGGATCTAGGTCTATATCTGAACCTCTCTTAAGCTGCTTTGTGTCAATGTACATTGCTAAAACCGCTATATAAATAAAATTGGATTGAATTGAACTTATTGAGTTTTACTACACTGCAAAAAATTGGCTGTAAATTTTACAGTAGTTTACTGGCAGCGGGTTTGCCAACTGAAAAACATATTCACACCAAAGTACTGTAATATCACATATAGCATAAAATAACACATAATCCAGCACATTTGCTCATTTGGCTGATGCTTTTTTTTTTTTAAAGCAAGTTGCAATTGATGCTGGACACACCTGAGCAGAAGGTTAAGGGTCTTACTCAAGGACCCAACCATGGAAGTTTGGCTGCCATGTGATGGGATCTGAACACACAACCTTCTCATCTGTTACTCAAACCTTAACCAATGAGTCACCACAACTAGCTCAACTAGCTTGCACTGATTCAACCACTTCCACCACTGAAAGCACTAAAAGACTGCATTGAGCTAGTTGCAGTGGCTCAGTGGTCAAGTCTTTGAATAACACATCAGAAGGTTATGTGTTCAAATCCCAGCACTGCCAAACTGCCGTGGATGGGTCCATGAGTAAGGCATTAACCTTCAGCTCAGCTGTATCCTGCATTATCTGTAATGCAAATGTACTGTCATTATATATTGTGTTATTATTATATACTATGTAAAATATTACAGTGGTTTATTGTACATATGTTTTATAGATGTTTACTGTAAATATTACAGTACTTTATTGGCAAATCTGCTGCCAGTAAAGTACTGTAAAAGTTACAGCCAATTTTATTACAGTGTATGATACCGTAATAACCGTAATAACTGTGATTTCAGTGTGGTGCTTCTTTCATTGGCTTCAGTCAGGATACTAACATGGTCTTACTATGGTGCAGTAACTGTGCATTACATTTTTAACCCTGATGATCTGATACATTTACTATAGTGCATATGTTCGCTACTTATTACATTATAATATTAATACATAATACACACGAGAGTTTATTATGGTAATTTAGAGTAACTGTAGTTGTTAAACACTTGACATTACACTGTGACAGTACAGTTACTGTTACTAGGCTACTTTTGCTGAACACACTGTTGGTTAAACCCATGACTACCTGCCCCTGGGAACTGTAATAGCTAAAATGTGTTGGAAATACGACCATGTCAAAGGCCAGAGAGGGTAAAAAGAGGGTAAAGTGCCCATGTGCTGCCTTCCCACTAGCTACCATCCCGTTACTCACCCGAGGATGACCAGTTCGCCGTATTTCACCGGATCTTTGGAGCGGGCATGTTCGTTCTGATTCGGCGACAACATGGGACTGAAGCTAACGTCGCTTTTCGCACTCTTTCCTGCTCACGAAAGCCTGGAACAAGTAACTTCAGTAATAACTACAGTGCTGACTGATAGGCCTCGGTTTTAACAGTGCCAAAGCTAGTAGGTTGGGTTCCTTAGACACATCTCTGTTGTGTTAATGAACGGAAGACCTGGGGCAGCTCGATACGAACAGTCCGAACTGGTGGAGGATGGAAAAAAGGCTCGCGGCAGAGTGGCGCGTACCATGATTTTCAGAGGAGCGCTAAACACTTGGTATTACTTCTGAAAACATTTAACCTCTCATTAAGCCAATGTTTCACCTGAATGTAAGAAATATAAAGTCTAATAATCACCATCCATACCATAATTAAAGACAAAGCTCTCCAGTGGCTTTCCTAAAGCATTTCTTTGATCGCGTTTCACCCCTCGGAGGTAGTATGAATGGTACGATCTCAGAGCGAAGCTCGCCTTCAACATTACGTCAGTGTGCGATAGTACGCTACAGAATACTATGTGATAAATCCCTGCTTACACTTACAGAAATGTAAATCTCTCACGCTATTAAAAGAGTGTCAGTCATTAATTGTAAGACTTTAGGCCAAGTAAAAACGTTATAACAAGACCGTTATACCTCTGATTTCAGTGGTGAACGCGCGATTAAGTTGAAAGAGAGCATGGTCCATTCATAGAATAGAGAAATAGACATCTTAGATAGAAACTGAATTAGATCTCAGTATAGGCTAAGGTTGGAGTCATTTGCACTGCTGTGAAATAAGATTGTCTATGTCGTGCATAACCGATCCAGACATTTTGATTGTCTAGTCTGATCTCATATTGCATCAGCGCTGCATATCATAGGAAATCCTGCATTTGCACATTGGACAAAAAGCAGCTTATCCACAGGGAGGCGCACACACTGACACAGCTTTCAGTGGCCACGTTGACGTTCAGTGTGCACTAATAGCACTATTTCCTGGCAGTGGAGTCCCCATGCACTGCACAGTTTAAGGTGTTTCCCTTGTTCCCAGCACAACACAGCTCTTCAGCTCATTAAACTTTTAATATTCACGAGGTTAAACATGTGAAACCTCTAAAATATTCAGTACAGGGAATACAGGCTTTTTGTTGTCTGGTTCTAAGAACATATGATGGTTAGAAATATTCCTAAACAGATATATGTGAGGTAAATTTAGTACTATATTACAGAATGTAGCTTCAACAAAAGAATAAGATATGTCCACAGAACACAGAATATGATCACAACACAAATTTATTATATGAACAAGACTATTTAGATATGAATAACATTAGACATGTATGTATGCAATCCCCAAAGCAAGAAGTCATTAACAGAGTTTTAAATGAATACAAATATTGACTATAGATTGAGCTACAAAATAAAATGTGTTATTATTTTCTAAAGTCTCAAACAATCAATACAATTCATTCATTCATTCATTCATTCATTCATTCATTCATTGTAACCGCTTTATTCTGGTTATGTTTGCAGTGGATCTGGAGCCAATAACAGTACCGCAGATGGGATGCCAGTTTATAGCAGTGCACCATGCACATGCACACCCATTCACACCTAGGGCCAATGAAACGTAGCCAGTCCACCTAACTGCATGTTTCTGGACAATGGGAGGAAACCAGAGAACCCAGAGGAAACCCACACAAACACTTGGAGAACATGCACAGAAATTCCACACAGAGAGGAACATGAACGTAGGATCAAACCCCGAAGCCAGGAGCTGTGATGCAGCAATGCTACCCACCCATCTTTTATCATTTACTCTCCCTTTTAATTTTTCATCTTCATATTTTTCCTGTTTTATCAACTTCAGCACATGTTTAGTCATTTATCCTATTTCCTATTTTACACATGCAACATTGCCCAATGTCCACCACCACTCATATGATAGCGAGGAGGCATCGCTTATTTACCAGGAGTGGAGTCCTTTCCAGAATCTGTATGTTGTTGTCCTCAAAAAAAGGACAGCAACCTGGGTTCTGACCTGAGGAAGCTTTTGATAGCTAACTTTAGCTACATTTGTCTTCTCAAACCCTCAGCAGTCCTAGCAGTGAGCTTGTGGGTATCTGTTTAGCAAGCCTGTATTTTAATTCCATTATTTTAACTGCTAAAATTAGTCTTGAATTTATATTTAGTTGGTTATAGATAATGTTGGTGGTGACAAATGAGGTTATCTAAAATCTGATGCAAGTTAGCTGTAACTAGATGCCAAACCTGAGTAAACTGATGTAGCATCACTAGCTAATAATATATTGCAAAATAACTGTGTATTGCGATAAGTCAGAAAGCAAGTAGTAATCTGACTAGCTATCAAGTCCTATTAGGAAAAAAACTGAAAAAAATTACTTATAATTGTTAGCTGATGGTGCTAGAATAAAATTAGCTTAGAGAACTGGCAGAGGCAGGAGCATCAGATCAGATGTATGTATGAGATAAACCATCTAAAGCATCTGAGGCTTACATACATGAACATCTTTCAGGAAGTTAATTACATTTATTAGTGTAAAAAGGGGCCCACAATATATTATTTGCTCCAATAAATAAATTAATTAATAATAATAATCTTCCTGTGCAGTAATAAGCAGTTACACTTTCAGAAGAGCAAGCCACAGATGCAACCTTTATTGTACTGTTACATTTGCTTGCAGTGATTATTAATGATGGTGCTTGCTTCCATATTTCTAAAAATGCATATATTTTTAAGTCAGAGAATAGATTTATTACAAACTAATAAAACTAATTATGCAGGTATGCAATGAATTCTGATATTATGAATAGAAATAGTCATATTTTGGGTCAATATATTGTTAAAACAGATGACCACATTTGAGTACAGGTTCGGTAGCTATGGAGGCTTAGCAGTGATATAATATAGTGAAATAAATACTGTATCTGACTTGGCAGTCATAATGTAACTATGGCCTGGTATAAAACTTTTATGCAAACCAGAAGAATAGTTATTTTGTTGCAGTCCACTGCAGGAGATTTTTTGCTTGATGTGTGCAACATTGTGCAGGCTTTAAGTTAAGTTTGTGCTCCTGCTGAGAAGTCATCCATCAGTCAGCACAAAAAACAGGAGAAACAGAGCAGACTGCATGACCCAGTGGGTCAGCTTCCTATTTCAGAGGAAACATTGGATGCAATTTTTTTCCCTTCAGTTTTGGTCAGATGTACAGTATTTAACACACTGTAAAGGTCGGGGTTGTACTGTTAATAAATACATAAAATAAAGTGTTTTATAAATGCTCTATTTTAGAACGTTTGAATTTGAAATGATATAACAGCTATTTGGTATTTCCTGATGGATCAAGAATTTCTGGCAGAATTTTCCTGTTTCCTGTTTCCCAGACCAGTACCCCCTGCAGATCTCAACACATCCCTTCATTCTCCACTCAGCTTCACACTTAAAGACATGTGAACTGTACTGGAACTGTACTGGATGGATGAACATCACTCTTCCGAAATATATTCCCTCAGTTTCGATGATGGTGATGCAGAGTGCCATCTAACACTTCTAAAATCTCCCAGCTGTTCATGCTGAGATCTGCTATATGAGTTATATCATTTCCATACTCATCATACCATTCAGTGAATTCTCATGCCCTGTGGATGAGAACATTGTCACTCTGGATGAGACCATACCCATCAGGCTAGAAATGTTTCATCATGGGATAAAGCTGATCAGCCAGAATAACTTTGTATTCATTTGCAGTGAACTTTCCCTCTAAGGAGACAAGTGGACTCAAGCCATGGCAGCAAAATGCTTACAGTATTTATAACAGAGGTACCGTTTTTTCCTTTAATTTGTCAACTGTCTGTATATTGCTCCAAAAAACTGCTCCTACCATCAGTTTTTCCAGTTGAGATAATTTTATTACTCACAACTCTTTTGAAAAAGGCATTCTTTGACACACACAGGATATTGGATTAGACTGGAAATTCCACCAGTGGAATTATTAAAGCATCATTTGTATTTTATTTTGCACCCTGAACTGAGCTTGTCCTGGAAGAGCTTTGTATTTTACAAAGTGAATGGCTCAAAAGGTAGGAAATCGATAGAATAAAATAAAATATCTTCTAATATATATTGCTAAACATGTTTAGCTTTACAAAGCAGGATGTTAAAATATTAAAATTGGCTCTCATCTGCAAATCAACGCTGCCTGTCCTTTCATGGCATGATCTTCTCTGTCCTAGATCAACA